AGGAAAAGAATGCGAGTCCTGTAACCCGAATTGTCAGGTGGTTATTTAAGCTGCTAGCCCAACCCATAATTCCTTTCTCTGCTCTGGAGCTCAGGCCACCTCGGCATGGTGATACCTTCCTATATCCTCATTGGTCTCTTAACTGAGTAAGTCCACCTGTTTCCTCAGCAGCCATTACATTGGGGTGACTCTAGGTTTACCCCATTCTCTTTCTTGCCTCCCTTCTGACCTGTTAGCTCCTTCAGAATCTCAAATACTGAAGGCTTACAATGCACCCCAATGAAATCCACCAGGTGGTTTTGGTTGGTGTCCATTTTTTTTTTTTTTTTTTTTTTTTTTTTTTTGGTGCTGTGATAAAATGCTGAGCGGAAACCGCCTTGGGGAGAAAAAGTTTCACTTCACCTTAGGCTTTTACAATCCATCATCGGGGGAAGCTGGTGGGGGAACCTGGGAAATTGAAGCAGAGTCTTAGAAGGGCATTGCTCTCTGGAAACTGTTCTCTGGCTTGATTCCCCTGCAGCACGTACAGCTGCTTGCCTTAGCCCAGCCTTACCTGCCTAGGGATGCTGGGCTGGGTCCTCCTCCATTAATTAGCAATGAATAGCTCACAGATGTAGCCATAGGTCCTTCTCCCCTAGGCAATACATCAACTAAAGTTCCCTCTTTCCAGGTGACTTTAGGTTGGTGTTGACAGATGAAGCTAACTGTGACAGTTGGGTTTGTTTCCACAGTCCTCCTTCTGTGTGTGTGACACTTCTGTACTCCCTTGCAGTCTGTTCTGAGACCACCAGGGCCAGACCTCTTAGGATGGAAAACTGCTAAGCTCATGGACGTACTTTAGGCTCATTTCACTTCCAAAACCAGCCAAGGCTGGTTTTTGGCCCTTGGACTGTATCTGAATGTTACCTATGAGCCCTCCACAATGGCAAACCCAAGAGTGAAATTAATGAGTCGGCAAGACTCCGGCTTATGGACTGTTCTGCCAGATCTGAGCGAGCCCTCTTAGGCTCTTGCAGAGATTTATTTAAAGTTTGAGTTGCTTTAAAAAAAATCCACATTAGGAAGATACATTTTTAAATCCGACTGACTCATTGCAATGTAACATCTGCTTCTGCCTGGGGTTGCAGCCAGATCAGAAGAAGTAGTCTCCTGGCCTCCATATACTGGAGGTAATTATTTCTCTGTTTTGTGTTCCCCACTGTGCCACTGTGAGTGGGCTGCCAGAGACACTTCAGCTTGTAGCAACAGAAATGTGTCATCTTCTACTTGAGGAACTGGTCAGAACCAGCCCCCCCCC